GAGAGAGAGAGAGAGAGAGAGGAGAGAGAGAGGGAGAGAGAGAGAGAGAGAGAGAGAGAGAGAGAGAGAGAGAGAGAGAGAGAGAGAGAGAGAGAGAGAGGAGAGAGAGAGAGAGAGAGAGGAGAGAGGGAGAGAGAGGGAGAGAGAGGGAGAGAGAGGGAGAGAGAGGGAGAGAGAGGGAGAGAGAGGGAGAGAGAGGGAGAGAGGAAGAGAGAGGAAGACAAAGAAGGGACAGAAGAAAAGGAAGAAGGGAGAGAAGGAGGAAGAAAGGGAAAAGGACGAATTGAATGAAGGAAGGAGAAAGGGAGATGGGAAGATAAATAAAGAGAAGTAGAGAGAGGGCGAGGGCGAGGGAGAGGGAGAGAGGGAGAGAGAGAATGAAAAGGAGAGAGAATGAGACAGGGAGGTAGAAAGAGCAGGGTACGACGGAAGGACAGAAAAAAAGAAAGACAAAGGCAAAGGGAAAGACTAAAAAAGAAAAACAACAACAGCATGATAACATGAGACAAAGAGACAAAAGGGGGAATAAGCAACGACACAATAACAAAGGAAGGAGATAAGGAAGAAAGGGAGGAAAAGCAGCTGGAACTTCGATGAAAATGTACGAATAAAAATAAAAAATAATAAATACGTAATATATATTTACGATAATAAATAGTAATAAACAGATAAATAAATCAGATATCAACATATAGATACAGAGAGACAGATGAACAGAAAGACATAGATAGATAGATAGACAGATAAAATATAGAGAGAGACATAAACAGAAAGAGAGAGATAGATAGATAGATAGACATATTAAATATAGAGACAGACAAACAGAAAAACAAGAGATAGACACATACATACATACATACATACATGAAATAATTAAAGAAACAGATAAATATATTAAAAAAAAATCACCGTATTTCACGAGACGCAATTTTCTTCCTGCAATAACCACCGAAAAAATCATCTCGAGTTTTAAATACGAGGGTTAGGTTGTTGTTTTTTTCTGAATATGAGCTGCTTAAATGGGGAGGAAAGGGGTATGTCTAAAGTATGTGTATATGTGTGTGTGTGTGTGTGTGTGTGTGTGTGTGTGGTGTGTGTGTGTGTGTGTGTGTGTGTGTGTGTGTGTGTGTGTGTGTGTGTGTGTATATATATATATATATATATATATATATATATATATATATATATATATATATATATATATATATAATATATATATACATGTATGTATACATGTATGTATACATGTATGTATACATGTATATATATATATATATATATATACATGTATGTATACATGTATATATATATATATATATATATATATATATATATATATATATATATATATATATATATATAGATATATATATATATGTATATATATATATGTATATATATATATGTATATATATATGTATATATATATATATATATTATATATATATATATATATATATATATATATATATATATAAAACCAAAGACCATCACAAAATCACACAGCATCTTCAACAGCAGCAAGCATTCCTATTTACAACGAAAACAAATAAAATAATCAAATAAAACAAATACAATAACATACATAAATATATATATATATATATATATATATATATATATATATATATATATATATATATATATATATATATTTTTTTTTTTTTTTTTTTTTTTTTTTTCTTTTTTTTTTCTTTTTTTGAAAGGGCAAACATAATGCCACTTTCCACGTGACAAAGGGACCTCGGAAAATTCCACGGATTTCTCAATATCGCTGAACCTACATCCAAAATTTTAAATCATTCATTCCCCAGGAGAGGAAGAAGGTGAGGGGGGAGGGGGGGAGGGGAGAAGAAGGGAAAAAGGGGGAGGGGGGGATGAGGAGTGGAGGAGGGGGGGAAAGGGGGGGAAAGGGAGGGGGGGGAGGGGGGGTGACGGTGGAGTGAAGGAGGGGACAGAAGCGGAGAAGAAGGGAGAAATGGAGGGAGAGAGAAGGGAGGCGAAGCAAGGAGAGAGATAGGAAAGAGGGAAGGGAAAAGGGAAGGAGGGAGGGAGGAAAAGAGGGAGGGAGGGAGGGAGGGAGGAAAAGAGGGAGGGAGGGAGGGAGGGAGGAAAACAGGGAGAGAAGGAAGGAAAGAAGGAAGGAAGGAGGGAGAAAGAGGGAGAGTGGGAGAGAAAACAAGGAGGGAGGAGGGAGGCCTTACTTCCCCTCCCCTCCTAAATCCCTTCCCCTCCCCTAAGAGGTACTTCCGACGCCCCCTACCCTATCCCCCACATCTCACCTTCCCCAACCTCCCCTCTCCTCCCTCTCCCCCACTCCCACCCCTACTTCCCCCATGCTATCCCCTCCCCCAAAAAGACACTTTCGCCATCCCCTACCCATCTCCACCATCGCCCCACCCCTACCCCCCCTCCACACACTTCCCAGTCTCATCCCCCCTCCCCTACCCCCCAACCCCCACATCCCAGCCTCATCTCCCCTCCTCTCCCCTATCCCCCACTTCCCCAACCCCTTTCCCTCCCCCAAGACACTTTCGACAGCCCCAGCCCTATCCCCCCCCACATCCCAGCCTCATCCCCCCCTCTTCTCCCTTCCCCTCCCCTCCCCCCATCCCCCCACTTCCCCAAACCCCTTCCTCAACCCCTTCCCCCTCCCCCATCCCACTTCCCCCAACCCCTTCCCCCTCCCCCCATCCCACTTCCCCCCACCCACTTCCCCCAACCCCCTCCCCCCCCTTCCAAAAGACCCTCTCGACCGCCCCATCAGCGAGGAACTTGAGACACACAATCCGCGTCCTTATTGCTTTGTCTCCTGCGATTAGCTTAGGCTACTCCTTCCCTTCTCTCGTTTCCATTCTTCTTATAATTGCTTTATTTCCCCCTTCTTTTTGGTCTCAATTATCGGTGTTTGTTTGTTTTTTTGGTCTCAATTATCGGTGTTTGTTTGTTTTTTTGGTCTCAATTATCGGTGTTTGTTTTTTTTTTGTCTTATTTATCGGTGTTTATTTGATTTTCCTTGTCTCTTTTATCGGTGTTTATCTGTTATCGTTGTTGTTCTCTTTTGTCTCTTTTTATCGGTGTTTATTGGGTTTGTCGTTATATCAGCTTTTATTTCGCGTATTATGGCTGTTCCTAATCCCGTTACTTATTATCTTTTCGTTTCTCTTCTTCCTTGATTTGCTTCATTTTCCCTTCTTATTCATTTGCCTCATTTATCGGATTTTATTTGGCTTGTCGTTATATCAGCTTTTATCTCGCGTATTTTGGCTATTTTCTTCATACCGCTACTAATTCTCTTTTCGTTTTCATTCTCCCTTTATTTGCTTTATTTTCCTCTCTCATTCCTTTCTTTTTCTCTCATCTATCGGGCTTCCATTTGTTTAGAGAAATGTAGGCTTATGACATTGCTTTTAGAATATAGTTTTACATGGGAGGGGTTAGCTGGAGGAGGAGGAGGAGGAGGAGGAGGAGGAGGAGGAGGAGGAGGAGGAAGAAGGGGGAGGAGGAGGAGGAGGAGGAGGAGGAGGAGGAAGAAGGGGGAGGAGGAGGAGGAGGAGGAGGAGGAAGGGGAGGAGGAGGAGGAGGAGGAGGAGGAGGAGGAGGAGGAGGAGGAAGGAGGAGGAGGAGGAGGAGGAGGAGGAGGAGAAGGAGGCGGCCGTGGGGGGGAAGGTGGAGGAGAAGAAGGAGGAGGAGGACGCGGTGGGGGGGGGGAGGAGGGGGAGGGGGAGGAGGAGGAGGAGGAGGAAGAAGAGGAAGAGGGGGGGGATACGAAGCTAATGATAATAAGCAAGACGAAACAGGAACGAAAAGAAAATAAGAAACAAGAGAGAGTTAGAAGAAGAACGAGAAGCAAGAGGAGTAGAAAGTGAAAGGAGAAGTGGGCGAAGGGCAAAGAAGGCCTGAGAGAAGGGCAAGGAGAGGGGAGAGGAGGAGGAGAGAGGAAGAGAGAGGATGAGGAGAGGAGAGAGAAGGAGAGAGGAGAAGAGGAAGAGAGAGGACGAGGAGAGAAGAAAGAAGGAGAGAGGAGAAGAGAAGAGGAGGAGAGGAGATAGAAGGAGAGAGGAAAAGAGAGGAAGAGAGAGGAGGAGAGGAGAGAGGAGGAGAGAGGATTAGAGAGAGAGACCGAGGGCGACGGACTATGAAGCCAGCGCTGCGCCGAAACCCTGTTCTTAAGT